AGGAACCCGTAAAAAGGGTTAGAGGATATATAGGGACGGTAGCTCCTTTCACAGAAGAGAGGAAAAGTCCAATACGTTCGCCGACGGCAGTACTACCGATCAAAGTTATCGAAGCGCATGGTCACGTCGGTTCTCATCAAAATACCAAACATATAACAAAGCCTTTCCGGAAAATCTTCAGCACGACATCTTCCTGAGTAAAGCAGAAGGAGGAAGGAAGGAAAATAAAAAGATTCAGTCTTGGACGACATCATTATTCATGGAATGACTTATTCGGACGAGTTTTGCAGATTCTCATGAATTCATCTTTGTTGAAGCTGCAGCGCTTCATAGCGCAGTGGCTGAGGGTGCAGACTCGGGTTCAGGGTCTTCCGCTTTCACAAGAGAATCCAAAGATGCGCCATGTATTCGACTTCATTCAAGCATTGGGAGAAATACTTTGTTACTTTGCAAGTGATGCCATGGTTTTATTCATTGATTTACATTTATTTATTGAGGGGAAGGATGAACCGCACTTTTTACCCATGCCATTGTCGTTTATCAACCCCATTTCCTGATACGTGCAGCGAACTTGTCTCCCTTTCAAAATCGTTTGAGCATTTGAATGAGCAATTACCTTTGGAAGGATAAGCAAGGGCCTCCTGTGCACAAAAAGGAGTGCTTTTCTCAAATAAATCCGATATCAACTAACCAAGCCTGAAAGCGTTGTGGTGCCGCTAGGAGGGGTGTCGGCCTGGGATTTGATCCGGGGACCATGCAGGCAATATACAGAGAGCATTCAGCACAACCCCAGCCTCGGCCTGCCAACGAACTAACACACCAGTTAACTTTTGTTTGTTTAATCAATTGATTTATTTTTCATATATTTTGTTTATTATAAACTTTTATATTTATTTTTTAATCATTATATTTTATATTTTCATTATATTAAGTAGTTCTACTTCTACTTTGCATTTTATCCTTTAATTTTTGAACTATTGGAAGTCAAGCATGGTTCGAAATCTGGAGCGTTTTCCAGAAAGGTTTTTGAGTTGCACATTCGCAACTATATCACATCACTTCTGCTCTTCCGAAAGAATGGGTCTAGCTTTTTTAGAGGAAGCTGGGTGCTTTTTTCTGTCCACTGGGAGAACTTCTCTCACTTATCAAACAAACTGCAAACATACGACCATTCTGCACTTTTGACATTGCAATGACTAATAGCATGTGTTGAACAGCGAAAAGCTACGGCATAGAGAAATAGCCTATTCAACAATGCGACGATGGATGAGATGGGAGGTATTCCCAAGTGGGATGACGATTGCAAAGTGGTATCCACGGCTGCAGCTGCAGTAGCTTCCATCGCTAATGCTTCTGCCTCCTAAGAAAACATGATCGCTTTCGAGGTCACAGGGGGTTACCCGGGACTTTTTTTTGAATTCGCCAGGCCCTCTCAAATGAATTCCCCAGGCCCTGTCAAAGTTGCCTTTTACCTTATTCTGACGGGTTATTTACTATGCCAACTCACCTGGGAAAAACTGTAATCATACGATAGCTCTCGGTAAAAATGCTTCCTTTGGCATTTTGCCAAGACCCAGTGAGGGCGAGTGTTCCCAAATGTTACTGGAGATCCTCCACATAACAACAACTCTATGAGTAGCAGTAGTTTTTCAGAGAAAGAGGTTCCTCAATGGCAGCCGGATCGATTGGCGCTTTGGGTTATGCAATGAGGGGGTTGTGTGCGGCTTGAGTACGTCAAAACATCCCCCACTAATGATATGTATGGGTTCAGTTCAAAGCCTAGTGTCCCCTCCTTTCACAAGACAACGATGGACTGGGCAGTAAAACAAAATAATGGACCGAACGTGGAGGGATTCCAGGAACTTCTACAATCAAAGGAGTTCTTCATAAGTATTATGATTGATGGTAGCTCATTTTAAGGGGGCTCCTCATTTTTCTTTGGGATTCTCGTTTGAGTAGAATATTCTGGAATTCTACAAAAATTCACATATTTCATAGCGGCTTTACCAGATATTTTGAATTCTGAGGATTTATTTGACAGAGTTGCGAGCTACTAAGTCTAGATGTAAATGAAGGGGACTCAGAGGGCGGGGAGAGGTAATACTAAGACTTTTCCATCCTGTGATTTGAATGCTTGAAAAGAAAGCTTTATCTTTCTAACGCGACTATATTTTGCACTCAAAAGCTTCGCTTAATTCGGCGGGAAAGCCAAGGGCACGGCGTAATCTACCAAAACTTCAATCAGTGGCTTTGAAATGAATGGTTAGTGAATGGTCACAACGGAGTGATAGGATTTTGAAGGTTTTCGAGAAACAAAAATTTGATTTCATCAGCAAATAGCCAGTTAACTACCAAGCTTACCCAATATATTTATAGCTACGATATCTTTTATTTTTTCTCAATCACCGAGATGAAAAACTTCGTTCAGAGACGCAGATCCCCTAAAAATCGCTATCGTAATCACTGTGGCGCGAGTAGTGCTTTAGCCAAAAACAGCGAGTTATGTAGAAACTTTTCGAATGGACGAGTTGTACCCACGGCATTTCAGTAGCTTCTGCTGTAGCCCCACTTAGCTACCCTTGTGAAGGACATAATGGAACGGAACTTTTCTCGAACTAGACCAAAATTAGCTACTTTCAGTAAATAATGAAAAATAATTGGAAGGGTAATTTTGCGGAATAGAAAAAAAGTGACAAAGCTTTCATACTACAGTGCCTAACCGAAAGGTTACTTTCATTATGATTTTTCACAGTGTTGTATGCGGCAGCATCAGCACGGAGAATTCTCGAAAAATTCAATTTTAATGAAAAACTCAGCTACAGTAGTTAATATTCGTGCTCTACTTCTTTATGACCTCAATTTTTCATTCATCTATTTTTTTATTTATGTGGCTATTTGTTTTATTATTTATTTATTTACTCGTTCACTTACTTAGTAACCGACAAGTAACTTTTTGTCAGATTTCGACAATAATTGAATGATAGCCATCTATTTACAGAAAATTGCTCAAATCATGATTATGTTCTTCAAAATCTGGATGAATTATCTTCTCCTCTCCTAAAATTTCCATGAATAATTTTTGTTTTATTGTTTTTTTTTTGCTGCCTTTAACGACCGGAACACAATCTATTATCTTTTTCACGTAAATTACTAAATAATCACTTTTAGAGATTTTAATTTAAAAATAATGGAAACTCACTATTGTTTTTTTCTAAAATATTCGAATTACCAACTGTTTATAGCTCAACAAAATTCAATTTCATAAGGATCTGCAGGTTGACTAATTTCTTTGCCCATGAACAAAAGTAATCTAATACTAGCTTTAAAACTACCCCTCAATTCACTTTTTTTTTGCAAAGCCTATCGCTGTCTTGTTCATATTTATTTGTTTACACTAGTGTACACAAACAAGGAGTTCTTCTTCACTCCGTGGGTAGTTTTCTATGAGTAATCGATCTTTCTCGATGAAATGGGTAAACAGCTTTTCGAATGATACATGTAAAGGATCAGCACGTTCTTCAACGTCAATAACAACAACAACAACAACTTAGATTCATAAACTAGGCTCTTCAGCTTACTCCTTAAGAAAAGTTGATAGACTCACGGCACAATAGTAGCAGTCGCTGCTGGTGTGGGCACCCGGATAATCCATTGGCTGGATACATCCTTCTCTGGGAATAACAACTTGCTCCACCTTTTTGGAACCAGCGGAATATAAGAAAGGCTGCTATATCACAGGCCACTCGTTCAGGGGCTGCCAACCTAAAAATATTGATGTCACCAATGTTGGAACGGTGTATGTCAGGAAAATTTCAGAAGAATTGAAGTGTCTATACAATTCGAGCGCAAGCCATATGCATGGCTTAATCCGGGCCCCAACTTCCCACTCTTACAATTGTTTATTGAAGTCATAAAAAATATTTATTTTGATTCGTTAGCCCTCCGTCAAGCATTTTAGGCGACCAAAGAACACGTATGCCCTCAATATGTCCGAGCCCATTCTCGCTTCGAGAAGCCAACCCCGGTAGTAGATTCCCGCGGAGTCAATTTACGTACGCAAAACCACTTATCCACGTTGTTTTCTAGAAGATATCCAATTATAGCAGCTAGAAGAGAGCAGTCCTTGGTGAAGAGGAAGGGCATGGGTTCACCTATTGCATCTTATTTTCAGGTCATTCCGGCTATTTACGGGATCAGGGAGAGGGGATTCTAGCCTTCAGGTGACGGACGTAGAATAATTGCTTCCAATATGGAATGACTTAATGATAGTACTTGTTCTAGATGGCTGTAATACTGGAAAGGGATCTCAAGGGCGTTTTAAGGAACACGTCTAAGTCGGAAGTGATTTTCCGGTGAGCGGTACACTTTAGTATTCCAGTCCATTGAGACTTTCTGCTGTGCAAACGTATTGCTCGTCACAAGATGAAATTCCGCTGCATTACACTCCTAAAAAGAAGTCGGACAAACTTAGTGAATGCAGACGACAACGGGCGACTTCTCCACTATAAGTTGGCAACCACAGAACGAGGTAGAGGGCCACAGTGTACGATGGAAAAGAAAGTGGGGAAGTACGCCTTCACTAAACTACACGGACAAGAAGTGGACAATAGGGTACCGAAGGCAACAATGGAGCTGACGACCGACCGACAATAGTTTTAATTTACTTGCTGTTTTTTTTGGAAGGCGAACACCTAGCTTAGAAGCCACTGTTTCGGCTAGCCCTTGAAGAGTGTTGTTACGTCCATGCACAAGCTTTGGTAAAGAGCCGAAACGTAGTCGTTAGGTTCAGGTGACAAAACTACAGCACGCGCGCAACGTTGCGCGACAGGAGACGACGGCAACCTACGGATTCAACTGTACCTCCCCTATACATTGGAAGCTGAGGTTAGGGGTGGCAGGCAATAGTCCTTGCCCTGCTTGAAGAAAACTAGCCGGGGTCGTCGTACTGAATCGACAGTGCCCCCATAATACCCCTAATGTAAGCCTAGAAAGCACCAGACATGGACAGGGTGCAACGACAAAACCAATTGACAGCGACTATAAGCGACTTAAGGGAGGTCATTACTACCTGGACGGGTAAGATGAGGATTGCCCATATGAAGCCGGTTGGCTTGATTCTTGTAGGAATCTCCAAGAGTGATACGGTGAATGCCATTCATCAGCCTCCATTTTCATTGTTTTGATCCGGAAGTTTTTTGAACTACTATAGTAAGACTTATAATTACTGTATCGCCTCATGACCTTGAGAAGCTCCGAGACTCCTTCAAAATCCGCACTTTTCTACGCAAGGGAATTAACCGCTCACTTGGGAATTGCTTTGGAATCTGTCTAGCTGTGTCGGTGTCTTTGATACAACCGCTATCGTCATCGGTTACTCATTCATCATCCGCCAGGCAATACGGCCGGCAGCTCGGCCAGGAATTTTCGCTTGCAAGCACTGTTTTGATGGATGAACCATCGAAGTTAGCCACCAACTGCTGCACAACGAATAGTCAACAAAGGAAGATAATCCAGTTGATGTCAGGAATTCCTGAAAAAGGATCAGCGAGACCTCCCTGTGAACAATCGTCAAGAGGTCCTCACAATGATCGTTGGACATGCGGTAGGTAGTTTAGGGGAAATTTGTCGGAATCGCAGCGTTCTCTCCAGGAACCGCTTCAATTTCGTCGCACACAAGTAGCCATTGCGGTGAAATTTTTAGCTTTTACTCGTTTTGGTAACCAAACTGAAACACTTGGACGGTTGCCAACGCACAGTTCCTGTGCTCCCTTTTCCAATCGGTTTCTCCTCATTTCATTTTGTAGGTTTTTGAGTCTCACTGCAGTTTTTCGGCTGTCCTACCCAGACGAACCTTCACTTTTTGAGTACTCCTTGGCCAATTATCCATGAGTGTTCGCTTTCGTTTCCCATCAACCTCTTGACAGTTATTTGCTGTTCGTACCCCCCGACATCACGTCTGTCTATCAGGAGAGGAGAACTCCAAAAATCGAAAGTCTGTCGGGGAAGGAACTGAGCAAAGCAGCTGTTCTAGCTGACGATCAAATGGGCCTTCTGAACCCCCTACGTTGTCACATTGGATTTAAACTGATTATAATGTATTGCTGCAAAATGGAAAAAAAGTAGGACAAGGGCTCTATAAAACAAGCACGGAGATAGCTTTTTATGTGAGTTGCCCAAATGACCACGAAGCGAGCTGAGAGCCTATCAACCGAGATCATTGCAGGCAAAAAAGAAGGAGAACAGCGGGATATTACTACTAGGCAATCAAGGGACTGCAACGTAATGAAAGGCCTCTCTCGAAATTCCTAATTCTGGTATGAAAGCGACACCTTTCTTTCCAAATGCCTAAATAAGACCCCTAAAAAAGCGGCCAGTAAGTCCAGGCCCACTAAATGAATGGACTGCATGTCGCGTTAGGATAATGAACCTTTAGAAGTTCGCCATAATCCGCATATTTTCCCTGATCCTCCCCTTTGAGACTATCGCCTCACTTCATAGATGTGTGCTTCGATTTGTAGCGTTCTATTTGACAGAAAAGACCAGATATCATGGACGGTCAGAACCAATCCAATATTGGAAAATAGGGACAGCTAGAATTGGTTGCTACGGGTCTTCTAGAGAACACCACCCAACCCATATAAACCGCCTGGTTATGTCTGGTTATCACCACCCAATCCCCCCTCCCCCTCTCTCTTGCAGTTCTCCTAGCACCCCTAACAAGCTTCCAAACTAATTTGAACAAAAGTTAGTCTATAAATCTCAACTCAATCATTCATTGAGTTTGCTTTCAAAACTTTTGCTCATGCCGGAGATCGATCCAAGCTCAAAGTTTGAATTATTATACATGACGTCACTTACCTATGGGTGGTAGCAGTTTACCATTTTGTCGCAAGTGCTGTTTATAGTCGATGGATTTTTCGGAGCACGATTGCAAGGTCCTTACAGACCTAAAAGTCCGACTAATTGCATTCTGATGATAAAGATTCACAGGCACATAAGAAATCGTCTCGGCTGTAGAAATTTCGTTAGAAAATTTGAAACAACGAATGAAGTTAAGGAATATCTGAATGATAGAGGCGAAACAAAGAAATTCAGCGCAGTCGACAGAAAGAACTATTCCGAAATGAACTAGAATCCATGGCTGAGCCCCTTTTACGGGATTAATGTAGAAAGTGGTTTGTGAAAACTCTACTACTGTTTTCTTTGAAAATTCTTCATCTATTTGGTATTCCCTAGCTACCCAAAGCCACTTACTCCCACCGGAAGAATTCCCCTGACAAAGTCCAATAAAAGCCAATAACACCCGATAAATAAAGAAAATTTTGAAAACATTCCGAAAAAAAAGTGCAAGATTTGAAAATTGGTCGAATACAGATGGTCCAAAAATTGAAAATTGGCTGATTGCAGCAAGTGTGGGTGCATCTGATACTCAGGGAAACGTTTTCCTATAATTCAATACTCGAATTGATAGATCATAAAGGCATGGGATAATGATCTACTCAGATACTCAAGAACCCTCGAACTTACCAATCCTATCAACCTACTGGTATGGCTAAATATGAAAGCTCAAGCCTGTTCTGAGTGAGCTTTAGTATCTGTTGAGATGACTGGGAATGGAGAAATTCGTTTGGGGATGAATACTGACGGGATGCCACCTCCTAGGAGAATCTTTGATACTTTTCGGCTCCCGAACTGACAACATGGACGAACATTAGAACAACTCGTAATGTACCTGCAAAATAAGTTCGGGTATAACGACCGAAGCTCAAAAGTAACCTACTTACCATTTCTTGAGCTTGATCCCAACAATACAGTCTCCCATGCAGTTCCCTCACCTCCTTCACACGTATCCTTAGTCCCCATACAATCAGTTATGTTATGTTATGTTATGTTATGTTATGTTATGTTTATTACGCTGCCTAAGGCAAACGCAGTAAAAAGAAGCTTCTAAAATCAACATAATAGACCAGGCGAAACAGAGTTAAAAGCGGTAGACAAAGCAAACTTAGACGAGAACCACACAACACATAAGCAGCATCAACCCAGATATTAAATAAAGACACAAGTATGGAATCATTTGATCAATCTCAGAAAATTAGGAAAACTTATGCTTGGTTAGAACCACTGTCATTTTACGCTTAAACCTATTCAAAGCCTCGGGGACGATCAGATTTTTTGTTACTTTTAAGTACAGACTACCA